GTGGAGCTGCTTGGCGGGCTGCGCTGACCAACGAGGTGTCTGCACTCCACGAGGCACCTCTTGATCATGACTACTTTTGTATATAGTTGTAAATGTTTAAGTTGTTGTATATAGTTGTAGATATGAGAATGTTGTTTAAATGAATTTGCTGCTTCACGTATATAGTTGTCAATATAGAAATGTTTAAATAAAAAAAATGTATGTAACAGATGAAATTAATGTTTTTTGTAGAGCTTAGAATACCTAATCACAAAACGTAAATTGGGGTGAAAATATTGTTCAATATTGTTAAATAATTAAGGGGCAAAGACAAAACCAGTTCAATTTAATTGACTTTATTTTTTATTTTTCCGCCAACCTCTCCAACAGCAAAAAAAAGCGGTTTGACCTCTCTTCCGGCTTTCGAGGATCCTTCCTTGACATTGAGAAACACCTAGACTAGTATGTCCTGATTAGCTGTCACCTGTCATTGTCTCGTCGGTTGGTGTAAACGTATTGTGTGTGGTTTGGACACGGTTTAGGGGTAGGACCAGGGGCGTAGGAGCAATTTTGAACCTGGGGGGGACAGTAAATGCTGGGGGGGGGGGGGGGGGGGGGGGGTATATTTAGTATATATATAAGTATATATTTTTGTATATACTTTTTTATATATAAGGCACTTAAATGCTTATTTCTAAAGACTTATGGGAACAGACTGTATTACTTAGTTTGGTCTAAGGCTAGGCCTATTTGATATTTAATATAGGCCTACATCGCAGTTAATCTCGGAATGAAATGTAATTTACCCTAAATCACCACGTGATGGCAGCAAATGACCGTAGCAGACACCCGAAGTGATTTTGGTTTGTGTGCTTGAATCCATCCAAATATAAGCTATCTTTAGGAGCCAGCCGAGCCACTGCCGAATTTTAAAGCAAATGTGATTGACCAGTGCTGGATGTACAAGAACCAGACTAGACTATAATGTCTGTAACCCCATGGAGATAATTAGGAGATGGAGACATAAGCACACACCTCTTGCCCCCCTCTCTCTCTCTCTCTCTCTCTCTCTCTCTCTCTCTCTCTCTCTCTCTCTCTCTCTCTCTCTCTCTCTCTCTCTTTAATATTCTTTGCTGTATATCAATCAATAATGTGAATAAAATAAGGTTGCTGGGTATATATTTGGGCGGACAAAGGAATACAAAACGTTATCTGTCAATATGGTTACGGAGTTAATCGAGGCTAAGATATTTTACCCTTCACAAGCTGCCCCCTTGGTGTTGAAAAGCTTTACAGAACTTTAAATAAACGATTAGACAGGACATTTTTCATATGGAATGAAACGTGGCTGGATTTTTCAGGCTGGGATGTAGTAATGTGAAATGTTTATTTACACAGAGATAGAACGGCAAATCACTTAAAGCAGCACTCAGTAAGAATTCCGTTTTTGTCAAACAGCGACCCCTAGAGTCGCTGTGGAGCACTTGTACTGTCGTGAATCGCACTCACGCAGAGATGGCTCGCACTCACGGCCGGATCCCCTCCCCCTGTACACTGGTACCTGTTCAGTAGGATGGACGCTGTAACGATTGGAAATAAGGTATGGCCCCTTTAAGAGCTGCGCGCGCCCAACACCACATGTATACGGCGCCGGGTTATTTCTGTTTGATGCTCATTTTATCAGATCTGTTTTTTGCCGTAAAGCAATTCGTTACCTCGCGAGACCTGATATCACACGATACTTCCTAACACTCAGGCCGGCTCGCCGGCCCAAAGTTGCAAGGGTGGTTTTGCGGCTCAGGCACCAGGGGGGTGCAAGACGACCACCATTCAACACGAAATCAGTAATATAAACATTACAATGACTCCAAAGCTGTTCAGTTAAGGTAAAAAAGTTACTTAGTTCACCTTTAAAAGACCAGTTCAATATTATGAATGATTTTTCAGTGTTCAATCTTTTTTTTAATTCATGTTCTATGGTAATCTTTAATCAAAATAACTTTCCCTCCCCCTTGCAGCAACATCTCTTCTCTGATGACGTGCTTACTGGTGTGAAGGCGGGACAACCTGCAATAGCTAAAAAAAATAAAATAAAAAATAAATAATAATAAAAAAAAAAAAACCTGCAATAGCTAACTACGATCGAACTATCTAATTAATTCCGATGAAAATAGCCTACTATCTACTAAAACTATCATGCTGACTTTAATGTGCACCTTGTTTAACATTCTAATTCTTTTAAATCACATTTTAAAAGTTGCTATCAACATTGCTGTACATTTCTTATGGATATTTTCCTGCTGTTTATTTTCACTGCAAGTGTAACAGCAACCTACAGCTGATCACAGACATACCAGTGTGATATGCCTAAATATATCTGAAGTTTATGTCAAGTATTCAAAGAGTAGGCCTACTGGCCTAGTATGGCGCTAAGACTGTTAACAATGCCAAGGTCATGGCCTGATAAAATACATGGCCAAATGCGGTTTCAAAGCGTATTGAGACTGACTTGATTTTGTCATTTATGGCAATGTGTAGTCACTATGAAGCTGTCATGATTCCTATTTCCATGGTAAAAGCGATGTCTCTGATTGGTGGATCGGTCTTCAGGATTATTAGTACTTTAGAAAATCAGTGATTGAAGGAATAGTTCCCCCAAAAATGAATAAATTAATTAATTTACTCACTTTCATGTTTTTCCAAGCACCATAAATTATCATGAAATGGTCATTGTGCACTAGGGTATATTCCAAGCCATATTCTATTCTATATTCCAAGCCATGGTTGTGCAGAAGTTCAGTCCAGAAGGGTGTTGACCACTGCAAACCGACAATTACGAAGACAAACACATTGTTTCTTTGGAAATGAGACCTATTCACGATATGAATAATTCACAATTAAACCTGACTTCAACCTCAGTGACACTCACTTTGGGTGTCCGTGGCCTCGAGGTCTCATGGAGGCTGTGACCTGCACTGCGTCTGTCCTTTTCAAGACGCGCGAGGCCTTGAGTGCTCCTGCAGTCTAATTCAACATGACAGATCAGGGAGATGGACACTGGGAGAGAACTGAAGAAAAATAAGTGAACAGAAAATGAAATGACAGTGAAGATGAAAGTCATGTTCTTAGTATGTTCAGTAATGGGAATAATAAAATATTATTACTGGTGAACTTGGACTGACAGAAGGATAGTAATGTAGAAGGGAAATAAGATGAAATCTGCATGATTTTTTTTGTGGTTGTAAAGTTATTGCACGCCATACATCAATCAAAGATACATTAGGTGGTGTAATTTTATTAAAATGTAACTGCACATCTCTCACATCAACATCTTTACAATTATTCATGTTATGATTAAAATGGAAGCGCAGTATAATTTGATATACAACATATATTGGTTAGAAAATATATTCCTGCTTATTTTTACTTATTTAACAACAAAAAGAATAATTTCTATACAAAAGGTGTAAGCATCATTTACAATTTCCACACTTTATCTGAAGCTTGTAATGGATAGGTTGACCCTCCAAAAATGGTATGTTTACAGGTTAAAGAACATATAACATACTGTATGTGCTGTGGTCTTTAATGGCCACTGAGACACAAAGATAAGTGCACACAGGGAATTTGCTTAAAACAAAAGCTAAAAAGCAACTCTTAAAAACCAATGGCAAAATGTATAAACCAGGTCAGTGTTTGTGTATGCTGTGGTCCTAGTAGTCGTTCTTGTTCCTCTTATCCACCGTGCCTAAAACAAACACTGAATCCTTTGTCTTCCATGTAAACGTTGGTTGTTGTGCTAAGCAGCTATGACTTAGCAATTTTTTTTTAACATTTTTTTTTTTTTTGCAAAATGGCTTTTTTGTGGGATCATCCACACATGCAAAGTTGGTTGATACATACAAAATTAGGCTAGTTATCAATTACTTGTAGGATAGGCTATATGATGTATTTTATATTATTTAAGCACCAGGAACCTTATCAGTTCGATAGAATGTTCTAATTCAAAGTGCCATTGCCAAATAACTTTACGTAACATTTTCTATTCTTCTATTGAAATTGTTTATTTTCTACTCCTTAACAGTCCATCAGACTCAAAATTATTTCATCTGTCATCTCTTGGAATATTTAAAGGCCAGGTTCTTCCTATTAGCCATCATTAGAACACATTTTACACACTGATTCTTACTTGACCTAATGAAAATGTTCCATAGTTCTTGTGATTGTTTAACCGTAACATTTGTTACAATAACAGGTAAGACCAGTGATGGCTCCTCATTACCATGATTAGGCCAATTTTGACTTATTTTTTTATTTTTTCTTAATCTGTAACATTTGTTATGAAAGACAGTAGCCTTCATATTTAGAAACTATAGCTACAACATTTATAGCCACAGTTGTAATATAAATATAAACCACAGACACACACCCCACACTCCCAACACTCCGCCCGTGAAAAAGACTTTTTGTCACTTGCTTTGTTGCGTAGCTCTACCCATAGTGCAGTGTCATTGGTTCAAACAGCTGCATATTAAACATCAAATGTGTTCTGATGCCACATGCCATTTTTATTTTCAGAGGAAGAAAACCTGTCTTATCCAGTCTGGTTTAGGCACGGTGTGAACAATACCTATAATGATAACATTATTAGCATCCACACCAACGGACGATAACGTTCTGTTTATTATAAGCACGTGCTGCAGTTATGTCATCTGCTGCTTTAAATACTTGAGCTCTTTAAATTTAAACGTGGATTTTGATTGGCAGTCAACGCTTTCTTGTTCATTAGCAAAAAATATCGTTCCTCTTTGTCATTAACGTTAAAGCTGTGGTGTTGTTGACTTCACTATTCTCGTAGAATTAGGATGCTTATTAAAACGGTATCGTTATAGCCCTTGGTGTGAATGGCTCTTAAGGATACAGTAGGGGTTTGTTTTGACCACAAGATGACTTCAGTTCATAATAATGACAGTCATCTTCATTTGAGTTCATAATTTGAGTTATCCACAGCATCAAATGATGCAAAATGTGAGTTAATGTCAAGCAACAACACAAAACCTACATACTGTTTATCTTCCATTTTAAATTTATATAGATTAAAATAGCCAGCCACATGTCTTCTTATCTGTCTGTCCGTGTACAGTCCATTCACTCATTGCTTGTCTATATGGCACTGGAGCCCGTGCATTAAAAACACCAATGCAGGACAAAGTCGATGGTGGCGCTCAGGGTGGTCTCGTTCTCCCTCGCCATCTCAGAAGTCCATAGATATGGAGCGCTGTCCCGGGTCCACCACGGTTGTGGTGTTGGGACGAGCGTTGCCATGGTTACGGATGGTAATGCTCCCGCAGCCGCTTCCGATGCTGCCGGCAGCCCCACCAACGCTCCCACCCCTCACGTAGATTTCACAGGGGATCTCCTCCATCACGCGGTCCTCGATCACCTGCTCGGCGCAGTCGTGAGTCTGTTTGTAGCCGTAGCAGCTCTTCTTGTAGGTGCCGGTGTTGCTGCTATTGAAGGTCTTCATGGGAGGTGGCTTGGAGAAATCGTTGTGGTAAGAGAGCTCCATTGAGCTGAGCGTGGTGCGACTCTGCTTCATGCTGCCGCCCGAGGGGGCCTGCGTACCACAGTGGTGCTCGTGGATGCATCGGGACATGGTGGAGGAGCGCCGCAGCTTATGGTAGCCGTCCAGCTCATCCGACAGCTCGGCCAGGTCTGTCGACAGCTCCTTGTCGCGGAGGGAAAACAGCTCATAGTTGGGGGGATCGAAGACTTCTTGGAAGCCGCCTTTGTTGAAGACCGCCGGCCGACGGGCCACTACCTTCTTACGGGGTTGCTTCATTTGCACCAGGATGGAGATGATGAGCAAGACCAGAACCACGCCAGCGGAGATGCCGATAACCGTGCCATGCGTCTTGGTGATTTGGTGAAAGAGTCCCTTGGACTTGCTCTCTGAGGTGGACATAAAAAGAGTTTTTAGTCAAATAAACTTTAAAGGGACATAAAAGAGTCAAGTCAAAATCTATTTAAATAGCACATTTACAAGCAGCAGAAGTTGATTCATATTCAGAATTGTTTTTCTAAATGAAGAAATTACATTTCACCCAAGTTTGCTGCCCAAAGTGAATGCGTGGACAAAGAAAATGCCACAAAATAATATATAAAATATGCTTTGTCTATTGATAGTTGTAAACAACAACAAACAACAATTTGCAAACAAATGATTGGTCAAAAAGGCTCAGAAGGAATCAGTTTAAATGGTATAATGAATCAATTACTTTTCAATTTTGTGAAAATGTGCAGTTAAAGACACTACAGTTAAAACGTTTGGAGTTTTTACAGTTAAAAAAAAAACATTTATTTAGCAAGGATGCATTTATCACTAAAGATATTTAAAATGTTAAAATAATATTTTGAATAAATGCTGTTCTTTTGAACTTTCTATTTATCAAAGAATCCTAAAAAATGCATCACTGTTTCCACAAAAATATTGAGCAGCACAACTGTGTTCAACACTGATAATGTTTCTTGAGCATCAAATCAGTATGTTGATTTCTAAAGGATCATGTGACACTGAAGACTGGAGTAATGATGCTGACAATTCAGCTTTGCCATTACAGGAATAAATTACATTTTGAAAATATATGAAAATAGAAAATGGTTATTTTCATCTGTAATAACATTTCACAATATTTCCGTTTTACTGTATTTTTTGATCAAATAAACGCCAGCTTGGTGAACAAAGTTTTCTAAAAAAAATTTTTTTTTTAAATCGCACTGATCCCAAACGTTTGAACCGCAGTGTATATATTCAAAAAATATTTTTAATAGTACAGAAGTTGCAACAAATTATATTTTAATACTAAAAAACCACATTAAATATTGTTATGAAAATACAATGGTTTTGTTTAGAGAAGAACAGCACTTTAAATAGAGATTGGTCCTGTTCCAGGTGGTAGGTGACTGAGGGAACAGGAGCTGGTGTTTGTGCAGTAACTCACCCTTGCAGTGGTTCTCATCCCAGGGGTAGACGCAGTTCTGAACGCCGTTGCACACCAGTGAGTTGTTGATGCACATGTTGCTGTGACAGAAAAAGGTGCTGCTGGAGCAGGGAGCTGAAAAACAGAACACAAAGAAGATGAAATCTCTTAAATACAAGGCAACAGCATTCTCATAGCAGGGCGTCAGCGGCCGTCTGCAGAAATGTGCGCCTCATGCCTGTGCCACAGGCTGTGTAGCGGGTGTTGAGCACAACACTATAAATCAAATCCAACAGCCATCACAAAGCCCATCTGGCCAAGTTGCCATGAAGCTCTTGACTGAACGAACGCTTAGCATGCTAGTCAGAGCGGAGGGTAACGAAGAATGGAAAAAGAAGGAGGGGGAGATAAGCTTGTAATTGAAGGTGAGTGCTGATCTCTGGGGATGAATCCTTCAGGCTGTCTGCAAACCCTGACACTCATCTCCTCATCGTGTCTCTCTCTTCTAGTTGGCCTCCATTTTATGCCAAACCCAACCGCTACATTAGTGTCCTCATTGCAACTGCAATGCTACAGCTTGAGAGGGGAGGGAGAAATCTCATCCAGTTTATGTGACTAAGTGCTTCTGACACAGGATTGAAGAGGTTGCAACTTTCATTTACTGGCATCAGTTCCAGGCTCCCACTAATAGGTACTGTGCTCATTTCCAAAATTGTAAGACATTTCTTGCCTTCCAACAATGGCCACTAACGACTACCAAAATCAGTACCAAAATGTTCCTTACAAGATGTAAAAATATATATCACGGTGTCCACAAAACATAACACATACCAAGCAGCACAGCTGTTTTCTACATTGATAATAACAATAAATGTTTCTTGAGCATCAAATCAGTATAGAACGATTTCTGAAGGATCATGTGATGTGACACTGGAGACTGAAGTAAAGAAGCTTTGCCATCACAGGAATAAATGACATTTTAAAATATATTACAATAGAAAACAGTTATTTTTAATTGTAATAATATTTCACAATATTACTGTTTTTACTGTATTTTTGATCAAATAAATGCAGAGACAAATCAAAAAAAATAATCTTACTGACCCCAAGATTCAGTAGCCTGGGTAAACCCAGACAACTTCCGGCAAATTTAGATTTGCTCTGAAAAGTTAGTCTGGCAAAAGAGCTCATTCAAGCCCATTTCCAATCCGTCGAAATCGAGGCACCAATCAGAAACGTTGGGGCGGGCTTTACACGATGACGACAGCGCTGGGATTTTGAAGCAGATTTTGTAGCCTACATTACAAAGATGGATGCCGCCGTCGAACATCACTCGTTCGAATCAGCTATCGCGTTTGTTTTAAGCGATTTGAACGTTTCCTTTTTGTTAAAAACCGAGCAAAGAACAACACTCGGGGGGATGTTTCTGCCGCTCTGCATACGTCATCTCCTTCATCGCTCTGATTGGGTTTAGGTCTATCCGCGACGTCCGTTGGTGACGCCCCTCTGGAAATGATTTGTCTATGACGCTTTGCCAGACCATAACTCAGTTACAACTGAGAATGGTCTGGTTTTAACCAGGCTAGTTTTTACTGTGTTTTTGATCAAATAAATGCAGCCTTGGTGAGCATAAGAGACTTCTTTCATAAACATTAATAAATCTTACCCACCCCGAACTTTTGAACTGATGTATTTGTGGCACCTGGCCTGGCTCACAAACCCAAATTCGAGCATGTGTCTCTAATTGGAGTGTATTCTGATGGTAAAAAATCTACTGTAGTGCAGAAAGCTTGTATGATATTTTGAAAAGCGCAGTGAAAAAGAAGAAAGTGAAAGTGTTGCTCAATGCCAAGATGGCAGTGAAGGCATTAAATGAACCAACTAATCCAAACACAACTTGGCTGTGTCAATCTATTCACAGCGCTGCAAGGCTTTCAACAGTTCTACAAACACTGTGATGAAAATCATTTGCATTCGCCACTGCCACTGCTTTTGCACAGTGAGCAAGATTAATATTCAGATGGAGTTGACATTGAATGCTGCAATTAATTCCTCTGATTATTCTGGCATTTATTAAAAGTATTTCAGACTAGAGGAAAAAATATCTGTTTTCTCCATGGTAATTTTCCACAATTTGCATACTGCAAATTTAAGCAGCCACTGTCCTGAAAAGCAAAGGGGGAAAAAATGTGATATATCGTCCATACCCACTAATTCATGAAGTAAAGCTTCATTTAGTGTTTTCTTTCTTTTCAGCAGCAGCAGCAGATAACTTTCAATTTTCCGTCATGACTGACCCATTAGCATGAGAAATGTGCAACACTATAGCCCTGTTATTTGATTTCCAATGCAAAGGTTGGGCGAGTAATTGGCTTTTTGATATTACTTCTTTCTACAGAGATTACTTTAATTAACTTCACACTTTTAAATGGACAATTTTTGAATGACAAAACAGGTTAGTGTCAGTTCCCATGGATCATAGCGTATTTCAGTCTATTACTCAACATCTTTATTCTGACATTTCGAGCAATGTTACATGCTTGAAAAAAGCTGTAATTTCCATTTCTGCATGATACATTTATATTGGATTAAAAGGTGGAATGTCCCTGGATATAGACGTTGAAGACTATGAGTGTTGACGGTTAACAATATTTCATCCCAGTGCGTGTAGCAGTTAAACAGAGATGTACAGCAGCATTTTCTCGTAGTATATTAAGTTTTTATGTTAATGGCATTTAAATCATAATGAAATTTGGCACATTATAATCTGGGGAACTGTCCTGCTCTCTTTGTTTTTCGTGCTGTTTTCATACTGCGGTTAGCAGAAGACTTGCAATCCTGGAAAGGCAGACTCTGCCTAAAGCACATAACAAAATGAAATATAAATGATGTTTCTACCCAGCCTGCTGGCTTTAACTTTTTTTTTTTTACTAGCTGACGTGGCACAGACTTCTCCACAGGTCAAATCCATCCATACTAACTGTCTAGCACCATGAAAGCCAATGATTTGGCCAGAAAATATGGGAAAAAATGTATAACTCTCTCAATACAACGGTACAAGTGGCCATTAATAGTCTTCACTACGTTTTAATGATTTGTATATTGTTAGATAATCACTTTGTCTATGTCATTCTGTATTAGTTACCAATATTGTATGTCTATCCTGTTGTAAATTTAACTCTTTCCCTGCCAGCGTTTTCTTTTTTTTTTTTTATTGCCAGCCACCGCCAGCGTTTTTGATCATTTTCACAAAAATGTCATGGGCCCCAGAATATTTTGTTGTATGAATATCTGAACATGCAATATATCAAAAGAAAGAACAGGCCATCTGCTTTAAAAAAGAAAAGAAAAAAAGAAAATCAGTTTTATTCTAGCTTCACGCATTCTTTTTTGATCAACACTTAGATATGGGTAAGTTTCATAAAAAAAGTAAAATTTTGAGCAAAAAGCTGAGAAAAATCACGAAAATCTGGATCGGATTCAGAACAATGATCAAAACATTAATGGAGTAAATCGAGTTCATCAAAACCCCTAATGCTTGCACAGTTCCTGGGTTCAACATTTGATTCAGTAACATTAGGCAGTTTTGATTAAGATGCTGTTTAATGTTGGATGCATTGTTTTTCATATGCATATGATTACATATAATATCGCTTGTTTCTGTAACTTCTCTTCGCATGTGCTTTGATCAGGAGATTCAGTACTTTTTCAGAAGATGTGTCAGATACACCGCCTAGCGTATAACAGTAAAAACACAAAACCCCAGAGAATTCTGTGTTTGGCGGGGAAAGAGTTAACATTAAGAACGTCTATACTCACGATCCACAAATGAGGTGAAGAGCATGCGGAAACGGCTGAGTCTGCTGCTCTCATCGGCCCACATGCGCACGACGCCCACGCCAGTATCCAGCATCACGTCATTGGCCACCGTGCTGCAGAACTTGGCTTTCAGGTTCTCAATGGCGCTGCTGCCATCATACACAGCCACAAAGTTCTTCTTGCACTCGTTTGAGTGCTCCATCTGGTACTCAAGGAAGCGAAGGTATATCTGGAGGGATGAAGCAACCTTTAAGTGCATCAGCTAGATTCTGCAAAATGCTGACTCGAACAGGACAAGAAAGAATACAGCGATTTGCAAAAAAGGAATTTCGAGCAGAATGGAAAATACTGCGACACAGAGTGAACTGACCTGATCTATGGGGACTGCTTGCTTACCAAGAATAACAAAAAAAGCTCCTGGCTTTGTTTTCTTAAAGACACAGGCATAAAAAGATTCTCAAAAAAAGTTGCTCCTCACAACTCTAATGACTCATCTTTAAGCTTTGTAATCATTCACTCTTCTCCCAAGTTCTTCAGGGATGTTTTTTTTAGCCTGCTAAGTGTTCCGGTCTGCTTAGCGCAGGTAAGCGTGTAATCCCTGGGCCATCTTAATGCCGTTTTTCTCCCTCAGTCTTATTCCTAGTACTTGCTGATTCGGCTCTACCGCCATTTCTGCATCATTGGACTAATACTTGCTGCTGCTGCATTGCTAATTCGAGCTCTCCTTGAAAAGTTTTCTCAGCAGAAAAAGGGTCGGGGAGCCTGATGGCCTCCTGCCTCTCGCCAGGTTTAAGGTGCTCATATATCTGCCCGTGGCAGAAGAGCAGGGTCATCTGATTTGATGAAGTAAGGAGGAGCCAAGTGGGTCACCTTGGACTGAGGAAGGGCACGGATGGTCCAGATGCAGTCCAACGCGTCTCCATTTTTTATCTTATCCTCTTCGTCCACCTGACTGGAGCGGATGACTCCGTCTGAACCACTGATCTCAAACTGGCAATCTGCCGCAGGAAAAGGTTGGAATTGGAAGCAAGAAAATACAGTGGAGAGAGAAATTAAGAAAACAGAAAACCTAAAGTGGTACCAGCAAAAAGCAGCATTGACTGCGAATAGAGTTTTTTTAAAAACAGAAATGGAAAGTCTGACAAGAGACACAAGATAGGCAGCATAAGACCTACAGAGAGAGAGGGAGTAGTGAAGGATGTCAGTAGCAGATAGCCTGCCGCAGAGAATAGAAAGCACTTCAGATGGAATTGAAGTAGGGGGCGAAAATATTGAGGGGCTTACCTGGAATTGGATTTAACAATCCACCAACGTGCAAATGAAAATCTGGGTCTGAAATGATAAGACAGATATCGCATTACCCAGATTGCACACACTGGAAATCCCATGCTCCAAACGTGCAATAAAATCAGTTTAAGAGAGCCGAGGGCGCTGCGGTGCAAAGATCCGCCGTTTGATCTAATAGGCGGCATTTAGTGTTTCTCTTATTTGACCTTAAACACACAGAACTTCTGAAACTCGGAAATCTACTGCATCTGAACAGGATCTTGCCCAGAATTTTAATGCCTAAAAATCCAGTGAATCAAGTAGAAGTATTTGTATTCAAAGTGTAAGGACAACAGCAAGCTTGCATCGATATTTCCTACACTGAAAACATATTAACCTAAAAAATGTACGTCATGTAATATAATCTCTAAATGAATCGATTTTATTCAAGCAAAAAGTAACATCAATGAATCAATCTAAATTAAACCAAAGGATTTGATCCGGTAGAAATAGTTTCTTAAGGCAACACTTGCAGGTTTTTTTACTGTGTATAATAGTGTAAATGTAAAAAAATACTTCTCAGAAGTTGGCCACTGAAAATCATTACAAGCTTGATTGTTGAGAAATCTAATTTACATGAGAAGGATGATCACATTCATATCTGAAGGTAATTCATCTGCATGGAATGGGATCTAAATCTCAACGTGCAGCATTTACTGAATACAAAGTCCTGTTTGTGTGTTTATCACTGCGTGTACAACATACATCAAGTGCGGCAGACAGATGAACAATGCTGCAGTGTGAAACAGGCCTAAGAAGAGACGAGCAAGGACAAATACAAGGTCCAGAGCATCAAGGCTTTCTATTTCAATTCAGAATGCATTTATGAATTTGGTTATCAAGCTCAAATAAACAAAACTTCCTGCTTTCACTGTCCGGGTTGGTGAACGTGATTTCACCATGTAAAACATGTTCCTGGATCAACATCAGATTTGAGGGGTAGGTTTACAGTTTATGTCAAGTTTAGGCTTACAACAAGGGTTAGGGGCTTCTATACCATTCTTATTCACCTTTCATTTCCCTCTGATTTCAGGGATAAATTGTGGGTAGGTGCAGATTTAGGGGTAGGGATGGGTTAAGGGTTTATGGACAGGAATGTTGTTCCAGGATCAACAAGAGATGCTTGTTCCAGGAACACGCCTTACTTGGCAAAATCACAGCGACCGTCGGCGTTACCTGCTATAAAAGTGTATTTGACACGGAAGCCTAAGCCTTCGAGCTCCTCGTCACTGATGAATTTGATCCACATGAAGCGGCCCGTGGAGGTGACCACACCAGGACTCTTTGGCCCACAGAAGCGATCAATAATAGGGGAGAAACCAAAGGGACCATCCCTTATCTCAATGTGGTCGAAGCGGCACTCGAAGGACGGCTCGATATAGTATGTTTTGTCAAAGGCCAGCTGAATTCTTTGCCGAGGGAGAGCTGGGGGAGAGAGGGAATCGAGAATGAAAGAGCAAACATTATATTTTGTTATATAAACTGTAGAGTATGTGACACTGTAACCTGTGCTGGAGGAACCCATTGCCTATTCCTGAAAATGAGAATACAATAATACTACATTGTTCAATTGTAATAATACGCCAGTCAAACACACACACACAATATTGATCAAATTGAACAATACAGATGTCACATCCACATTATATCCCGTGTTCACATTATGAACAGTCTACTACAAATGAAGATAAACTCTCTTTCATAACCCTGTTGAAAGAACTTGATAGACCATTACATTCCAATGCACATTTCATTTGAATTAATTTTGATTCATTAAGACGAATACAGAAATGTCCACAGTAATCTCAAATTTGTGATGTACAATAAATGCGCAAACTTGTAGTACAATGAAACAACCACTATCCACTAACTAAATGTGAATTTAGGTCACCTGCTTGAGGCACAACAACCAAAATCATATCAGTCTCTGAAACAAATAACCAATGTCACTGTTGATTTAGGTTTGTTCAGCTGTATTTGCTGCAGCTTGCATTAAAACCACAGACTCTGCACAATACACAGTCATTTATCAAGAAAAAAAAAATCGTCTTTCTGTTCTGCATGTAAAGGCATATAAATATGCATAGGATTATTACTTAAGTTACTAGGGTGAATTAGGATGATTTTGGCAATTGGTTAACGTGGAATCTTAATTAAACCTAGACTAAACCATGTACATTTCTTTCTACATCCCATTCAAGTGTTTGTTAAAATGTTCATACTCTAGCTAAGTTATCTTATTTGTTGGTCTGAAGTGGCAGTAAGCAGCAAAGGTCAAAAGTGTTCATGCAGCCGATAGAAGCCCTATTTATTTATTTATTCTTCAAAATAAATAAAAATAATGCAATAAATAAATGCTTATTACACTGATCTCACAATAGCATAATAGCTCATTTAAAATTATGGTTTAAAGATTTAATTTTTTTTTTTAAATACATGACATGCTGTCAGATAGTTTTTGAATATATTTGCTTCGTCCACAGGGGGCGCTCTTGCACTGCTTGAAATACTGTTATGCCAGTACAAAATTGTGTTATTCACGCTTGTATAGTTATACTGAGATGCACTAGTACCAGATATGATGTTGTTAAGAGAATATAATTAACTGTTGCATACCATAAAGAGAAGAGAATAAGTTCCTAGAGGCAAAATATAACACTCCTATATTAGTAAACACTGTTAACTTGAGGGAGACATCAATCACATTGTCATTAACAGCTCCTGTCAGTCTGACATCTAACAGCTGAAGAATAGCCGGAGAAACTTCTTTCATTTGCTTTTAGGGAGGTTACCTTCCAGGATGTACACACACTCCTTGTTGGGTGGATAGGAGTTAGGATAGTTAGGAGATGTAAACAGCCCTCCATTGATATTCCGGGTCCACTGGCCGCACTGCTCAGCGTTTGATAGAGATTCGCCCGCATTCTGCGTCTCTGTGAGAAAGGATATGTAAGAGGAAAAGGAACTAAAATACAGCTAAGAACTAAGATTAGCAATAACTGAGGCAGAGTGAGTCAGTATTTTGCAGATGGTAACAGTTCACTGTCATTAACAGTTGCTTGAATAGTCACCATATAATTAGATACTGATTTGACAAAGAATTTCCACATTTTTATTTTAAGCTTACAAAGAACCCTAGGCTCAATGAAAGCATTTTTAAAATTAAACATTCTACATTTACTGGCCAGTTTATCCTCAAACTGCTGAGAAATTGAATGCAAAATAAGCTGCACAGGAACCCTCTGCAAGCCCAGTGCAAAAACTGTGTACAGATAGGACTGTCACAGTTGACAATTCAGATATGAGTGTGATGTGTGAGTAATACCTTTAATTTTCTGCGCCAGGGCAAATCCCTCTTCTATTACAATGAGGAGAACCCAGGCTGGAAACAAGAGTGAGCAAGAGCATGTCAAATGTTAGCAGACAAAAGTAGGGCATGTGACATCACATTTAGCCACAATTATGTCCTTCATCTGACACTGTGCTCAGAACAACCGTATACAACACTGGGAAATACTGTATCAGTACTGCAAAACGGCCATTCGACTCCTGAAGTATTCTGCTGTCGGGCCAGTGAACTCGGATTCAGACAAAAGTGATGTTGGTGAGAACCTTAAAAACTACAGCAGCACATAATCTATAAATCTTTTCTGACCGATCCAGTCTTGTCTCCCTCTGCCTGAAAACGTCTGCCCAAAGCCAGCACTGATTCATTGTGCGGACTGCGGAGGCAAAGGCCAGAGACGATGTGGGCACACAGACATGAGCACATTGATCACCCCAAACTCCTCTATTACTCTCCAAGCCTCGCATCAGGACAGGAATAAATCTAGCAGACTGATCAGTCGTTCAAGATCCTTGTCATGTCATAACACATCTTGCACTTGACGCCCATCTCTGACATAAGGCCAGATGGTCCAAGATACCCTGCCTTGCAAATTTGTAATTAAGTGACAAAGTATCACGCACAGCTACATTGTTGATTTAATTATGATGCAATATTAATTTATTTCCTTCTGGATTGTGTGAGAATTAATTATCCAGACAGCAAAATAAAGCAATGAGCCATCACAAGTGTGTGTTTATAGTTGTTGGTCTGAATTCGTACTGAGAATGTAGGAAAACTCATCACTTTCAGACCAATCATTTGCCATTCATTCAGTATGATAGATTCAGCTGAAGACAGCCATAAGGACATGATGTCAAGAGCGGCGTGCCTCAGCTTTCATCCTGCTACACATTTAACAGCAAGTGTGCAAATTAAATCAAATGGACCCTTTTCACATTTCCAGGGTTCTCTTGAGCGAAAGTCGTCATATGGGTAAACTTCTATACTAGTGAATGGGAGAATATAGCAAATATGAAAAAAAACCCCACAACATCGTTTCCACAAAAAATAAAGAGAGTTTGGTTATGGCAGTCAGAAGGAAGACAGCAATCTAAAAATGTATGATGTTTTTTTTTTTATGAAATCATGCATTTTGAAAAAAAAATACCTAAAAGCTTAGCTAGATGTACAATGTTAATAATGACTGTGGAAATGCGTCATCAAAGTCTGTGAAAGTCTTTGTCCATAACTGTCTGTTATTCATTTTAAGGGGAGCAGTCTGTTTGAGAGGTTTATCTTGCAAAATCAGAATTGTCTTTTGGCGCCCCAGCATCGTTAGATGATCGTCAAGAAAGACATTTTAATCCAAAAATATTTTGTGTGATATATATGTGATGTGTAAATCTATAAGTAATAAAGTAAGTAATAAAAGCAATGACAGTAGGCCTGGAATTTCTAACTTTGATACGATTCCTTGAAAAATCTCGATATTCGATACCGTGGGGAAAAACCGTCATATATACTGCATATAGATATTTTTATATTATCTCATAATTGTTTTTGTCCAACCATTGAAATCCTAGTCATCAATATTTTCCTGCTTAAAAAAGTACACAACACATTGTAACAGTAATCCATATGAATCATGTGGAATAATCCAAGTCACAATCACTTTATATAATGAACATATTTTAATTTAGGCTTTTATTCACATATAAACATTGATCAGTTAGCCTACCATTACAATTATGTCACCTAAATGTTTGCTCACTTAATGTATTTGTGTTTTTACAATGGGGCAATATTGTTACAATAGCTCACACACAGCACAAGGAAGCTTAATTCAAACTGAATTTATAAAAAAGACAAGTAAATAGTCAGTAATAATATGAGAACAAATAAATAAATTACAGTTTTTCAGGTGGGTCTAACAGTAGTATTTAGGTAAAAATACTACAGAAATGGAATAAAGTAATCAAACGTAAAATAATGTATAGTCTTCATTGCAAAAAAATAAATACAGATTAATTCTTACAATTAAAGCTACAAAAGATATTCAGAGCAGTAAGTAATTTCCTCTGTCTTTTGTTGTTTGATTAACATTAATGACAAAAGGGAGCAGGGTTTTTAGGCTGCTGTCCCTTTAAGAGTGAACACAAGGATCTAATATACAGATACACATGCATTTTCTTTCTTAACTGTTTACGTTCACTTAAGACATAACCGACTGTGCTTACGAGAATACTCGGCAAGATGGGCACTTTGACATCATTTTTTGCGTATTTGACCGTTCAAGCGCAATAATCCGTGAACAAGAACTCAATTTGATAGTCGCGAGCTGTTTGAGAGGCGGCTTTATGTGCGCGCACTTTGGGTGTGAGTGTGACACTTGCGGAAATGAGTAGAATTATGCCGAAATTCATGCCCTGTAACACCAAAACTACAAACGGAGTGAATGAGATGAGTGAGTGAGTGGAGGCAGGTGTGTGTCAACTCCCTCTCGGAGAGAAGAGAGCGTGAAAGCGCAACAGCTAAACTGATGTATCGAATATTGATACTGCGGGAAATGAGTATTGGAATGTTTCAGATATTTTAGTATCGATCTAAAAATCTATATTTTTGACAACTATTGCAAAGAAAGAAACTACAGTAATTTAGGTCTCACAAGGAAAAACAGAACATTTTATAATGGTTACTTTTCTGAAATGCGTCTCGACGATAAATATGACACTTCGAAATGAACGAAAACTTTACTACTTTACTGAAAAAAAAGTTGCTGTTTGGATTTAAAAAGGCATATGTTTAAGAGTCAATGATTGGATCATTATTGCAGTGATTATTATGTTTGGGAACAGTTCTTCTTTAACCCTAACTGATGGAGTGTGTAGCTTTTCATTTCTTAAACAACCATGTAGCCAAAACATCATGGCCATATTCCAGGATGACACTGTCAAGATTCATCAGGCTCAAATTGTGAAAGAATGGTTGGGAGAGAGCATGAATAATCTTTTTCACACATGAATTGGCACCTCTGAGTTCAGGCCTTAAATTCATTGAAAGTCTTTAGGATGTGCTGGAGAAGACTTTACAGAGTGCTTGACTCTTGCATTGCCATTGCAAGATCTTGACCAAAAACTGATGCACCTCTTGATGGAAATACATGTTGTAATGTTATTTCCATCAAGAGGTGCATCAGTTTTTGGTCAAGATCTTGTATTGTGTGAAGAGTCAATCACTCTGTAAAGTCTTCTCCAGCACATCCCAAGCTACTTTTTTTTTTTTGCCGGGCAGTGTATATTTGTGAATATATGTAAATAAATATGGGATTATTTTTAAAGCGGTTTAAAGCAATTTTTTTAATGCAAATATCGTTTCAACTGGATTTTCAAACATTATACAGATGTATGGCCTGTTCTCGCGTAAATGAGTTTCTATGGCACGCATTGTGTATTATCGTGCAATTTATACGCGAAAATGAGTTTTACGTGCATATGATACGCAGTTTTCGCGTGCATTTGATACGCAGTTCATTTGCGTGTAACGTATAATACACACGCACCCTACACCACTACTAAACCTACCCTAACCAACCCATGCGTATCCTATGCACATAAAAACTCATTTTCGCGAATAAATTACACGATAAACACACTGCGTGCTATAGAGACGCTTAGTGTGATCGGGTTGCAGCAGGGTAGTCTGTGACTACAAAAGTCAGGCTGCCTATCTTGACCTGACAAGGAAGGAACCAAGCACGCTACACCAGCATTATTCATTAGAATCCTCATAGGAGGGAACACTGTTATTTATAATGTGATTATATACTAGCCTATACATTTACATTTGTCATATACTTAAAATGTAGGTCTATATCACAAAAACCAAAAGTGTTTGGATGAAAAAAAAATAAAAAGTTGACATTTGGCTAAATGTGAGGGGCGCCAAAATCCAATTTAGTAACAATTCCTACTACTTTCTACACGCCTTAATATCAGCATAGATTAATTTGATTAAAATGCACATTTGGCTAAGAAAATTCAAACACGACAATCTCCTTCTGATAAAACACGCCGCTCAGAATCGTAGCCTATGTTTCAGTCTTAAAAGATTAAGAGATTTCAGAGTCACACGTGAAAGATGAACTTAAGTTATCTCTCTTGGGATCGATTATCGTATGTGATGTATATTATGAGATCAACCAGGGATCTTTTTACATAGCACACAACGTGAAGATAAACGCAAAGAGAACATGCATAATGGAAGTTTTAGAGCTGAATTAAATTGAGTTTTGTCCTCAAAATGAGAAAGGCAACAGTGGCTCCACATCTCACGTATAGGATCCGATTTTCTGCATCAATTGTCTTGCGTGCTGTCTGGTTTCAAATGAACACACATGTGGGATGAGCCCCATGGGACGAAGCGGTAAAATGTTATGAGGCCTGTAGGCCTATCCTATTTGAGCAGTGTGTCCATAAAAACACCAAAAACAGATCTCTCCACGAAGGGGGAAAAACTTTATTCTCACTTGATTATTATAACTAGGCTATATTCTAACTGTCACTGATCAAAAAGATTCAGCTATTTTCCACTGAGCACATGAACTATTAATGTCATTTGAATTCCAAAGTTAATTAAAGACAGGTGTCAAAGATTTACCCGCCGCATATCACTCAGGAGGACTAAATGCCCCGAACTCATACCTTATGCCAAGTGCTGTATTTCTCATCCGTTTCTTTACAAATGCTGACTTTATTCCTTCAGTTTGTAATTTTGACTTACTCCAATACCACACTTAAAAAAATAAATGAATAATAATAAAATAAACAGTTGCATTAATTGTCACAGACGCATCTCGATATATAGGCCTAAGCAAAAACATTATACAGAACAAATGCAGAATCAACAATTATTTGGTTGTAATTCAATTATAGAGCAGTTGAGGGAAAAATAATTTAGGTTAGTGTGGAATTTGGCCATCATTTTGCATATTGATATAAAACATAATTGGTGAGGGGATGACTTATTTTGAACACTTGTTTTTCATCTTCGTGGGTAAGACGTGGTCACATTTTACATGACAGTGAGAGTTCATATTGCCTTGTGATTGAAAAATGCTAGTTTTTTTTACATGTCAACATTTTTCGACATGTTGCCAAAATAATTATATTTTGTAACAGTTTGCTATTCTGAAGAGTTCTTGTATTATTAATTATTTACACTTCTAAATAAATTATAGTGATTTGTATATGCTATTGCTATATTAATTTGTAATGTATATGAACGAACAATGCCATACAAAGCATTACCCCGTTGTTTTTTTTGGCAGTGGTCTGACTTAATTAGCAAATAGGAAGTTGGATCTCATTACTTTCCCCCATATATATTTAGTTAAATCTCGCCGACACGGCTCATCGGTGGAGAGGGTCATGAGTGCTGGGCAGCAGCTCGTGCTCCAGCTGTGGTACGCGGGAGCTGTCACTTCAGCACTCTCGCGCCGCTTCTGCAAATGCCACGCGCTGCACGCGGCGAACTTGCGAGAGACGCTGCAGTAATCGAATGCAACTCGCCTTCTGATGTGGAACTATGCAGCTTTTAACGTGCAAATGACATTTTTGCTGGCTAACAATGACAAAAAACATTTCCTGTCACACAAATGACCAATGGTTAAATGAATACGAAGCAAATAACGCATAGAGGAATTGATTAGCCAGATTTTCTTGGCCAGATATTGCCAATAAACAAAAGCACACCTGTAGGTGGCGACGCGATTTATGGTTGTCCCTGAAAAACTTGTTAGACACGGCTCTATATTGCGAATGTTGAGCTGCATTTGTTGCAGCAGCAACAACCGTATAGGACCAAATCGCGCTGTGTTGTCAGACACGGGACAAAAATAAATAAATGTTTGTTGAAACTCACCTCTGTGCATTTCCACTCGCTGTGAATTACCGCTGCGTCTGCCTTCGTGATCTCTGTAGGCGAGCTTTATCTCTCCATTTTACTAGACCTACAAATCCCAACTTTTCTTCGATCTCGTTAATCCCATTCCTCACGATGTAAAGAAACCACCTTATTCCTTACGAAGAACGCGCACATCAAGTCTGCCTGACAAGTTGTAAATGAGTTTATAATCCTGTTGAGAAATGTGCTTTGTAAATCCACATGCGTCGCGGAGAGTCCGGGGAGAGACGCGCGTCTGTGGGAGTCTCGGGCTGAACTGAGGTGATCGCACTAAACGAGGCTCATTTGAGCTTCGGGCGCTGCTCGCTTGAATGAGCAGCATGTACGCATGCGCAGTTAGACGCGGAGAAGCGCGGTCAAGTTGAGGTGACGTGATTCGACACGGACACAGCATCTAGAGTATTGATTTACTCTATACAATTTACTGTAATGCAGTCTGCTTTTTGACTGAGACGGTTTAGACACACAACAGCCCTCAGTCATGACATTATTTAAATCATGTGTCGATGATCTACAGACCTCCATGAACGTATGAACCATGTGAATACAAACGCAGGTTTTTATTTTCTTCCAGGGTACGAGAGGTGTTGAATCCATTGCCGATGAGTAGTGAGGACAGAGACGAACACATAAAGGTAATAAAGCATTTGGTCATGTTTATTTATACAACATTCAAAAAAAAAAAAAAAAAAAAAAATACTGACAAACAGCAACCAAAACCATGTTGAGAATGATTAATTAATAATTAAAACAGAGCACAGATACACAACCTGTTGGGACCAATATGCACCTGACCAGAAACAATTAGCAAAAACCATCTGCACAAATTGCATGCTAGTTAACATGCAAGTTAGACAATTGATTTTACCTTTGGAAGTGAAACTGCTTAATTAATGTGCATATAGTGCACCATATAAAGGTAAAATAATTATTAGCATATAAATTAATACATTGATCAGAGCACCTGTCAGATATATACAGCTAAGAAGAAAACCCTTCACACTAAACAGTCTTCAGCAGCACATAATTAAGTTCCAGTGTTTTAAAAACAAGTATATAAGAAATAAATAAAACCACTTAGAAATCAAGGAAAAATACCCAAAGGCATCAGTGACAATGGAAAAACAACCCAGAGTTGAAGTATCGATAACTGTGCCTAACAATCAGTAAGACAGACACAGTGGGAATTACTAGAATGCAAAATGAAGACAGAACATGAAACAGAAACAGAGCGACCTGATTAATGTGGACTATGGGCAATTAGGGTTGAGGACTGTCTATAGAATGTTTACATCTAATGGCAAGTTAATGAATTGAAACAAACTCTGGGGAATCATTTGGAAGTGGTTGGGACTGAGTGTTGATCCTTAAAGCAATACCTTATTGTAATAGAGTGATGCCATTTTTAATAACTCAGTTTTTTTTGGTTCCACACATCTAAATGCCTAATAAAATTAGTTTACAGAGCACACTTTTGTTAACAGGGGCCTCGTGTAGCGCTTGGATTCAAAGCGTTTATTTAGTAAAGGGGTTCAGTGAAGTGAAATAACCATCACAGAGTCACATCCATTCCATACACACAAAGGCAGACAACTATTTAAGTCCTTCAAAAACAGTTCTGTTTCTGCCCACTTAACATTTACCTGTTACCTCAACAATACAAAGAAAGACTTTTATAGTAACATGTTTATGCCAAACCAAAGTACAGAAAATGGCACCAAACACTTTTCTTTCTTCTCAATGTGCAAACATCATTATGCGTTTAGAATCATGTAAACAAACTTGACAGAAACATACCTTTTCCCTTCAGATGTCAACAGATCTACAGAGGCACATCACTGTTCAAACTATTCGTATTTTGATGGATTCCTCTGATTTCAGACATCATTAAATGCATAAAAATGCTCCAGTGTGAAAAAAAAGGCGAAAAAAAATATTAAATACACCACTGAAATGAAAGCAGACCCGTTCTTCTCTGTGTTTACCCATAATGCTCTCTCCAATTTCTCACATGGCATCAAAATGGAAGCGATGGGCCTCCTGTCTCTTCTCGCGGTCATCTGCTTTCTGTAAGACACAAACATTTAAAGGTTGCTATACGTTCTGTAACTTCACGGTCTTGATAGCAGGCTGGAATATCTGGGTCTCGCACGTTAACCTTGCCAGTGAGTTGAATGCAAACACAATACAATGCCGTTTGATACATTGGGAGAGGAAAAGGACAGACACAGTAAGAGAGAGGCAGACAGAGAACTCATTACACACACAATGGCACACTTTACCACGGCGAAATACCTCTGTGTGCGATCACAGATAGAGCCGACACCAGACACTTGCTGCCTGAGACCGATAATAACACACACTGCCAAACCTGGAGAGCGAGCATGTGTGTGTGTATATGTTTGTATGCTCAGTGATTATCCTGTCTCGGTGATGACAAAAAACGATGTCTATTCTCAGCTTGTATGAGTGACTCACGCACAGGGTCCCTCTGTGAGGCACTTGTGAATTGGCTCTCCTGTTCTATAAGGGTCACTTGGGTGTATTTTTAGCTCCAGGTGTGTCGTTTCCCTCCTAGTAACAGCAGAAAGCACCTTGGTCATAAGCAAAATGGCAAATCAGTTAAGGTAAAAAAAAAAAGTAGTGTGCCAGTCTGCCAGACAGATATAAGGAGGTATTTTCAAAAGGACTTTATATCTCACAGACCATGCAAAAAGAGCCTGAGGCTTTGACTGAGCGCTGTCAAGCTTTACGCTATCTGCTCAGGAGCCTCTAGATGGTATCTATTTGTAAGATATACTGCTATATGTCGGATTTTTTTTCACGATATGGTGCTGAGTCACATCAACATCACTATTCGCCGGCTTTCATTGCCGTAATTAAGGGTTGTAGCGAAAATGAAGATCTGAGATACATACCTGCGAGCTCATCCTTATTTCAGGTCCATTTAAGTGTGTTGAGTGAGTCATAGGCCAGTCACAGACTCATTGATTACTCTGTCATGAGTGCTCGACTTAATTACATAGTCAGTGATAAAAATAGCCTGTATGCTCCTTCAAGCTCAGGATTACTAAATAACAGGACTTGCAGTTACAGCATGTCTGACCATTTTAGTTCTTCCAGAAGCAGTGTATATGTAACATTAATGGTCTCTGTCAGATGAGCCGTCAGCAATTTAATGCAACTTAACAGTAACAATGGAAAGTATATTGTACTACTTTCCACACACAATTTTTTTCCATCAGACACTTTTGTATTATATCGTGTTATTTGTTGTTACAGAAATGCAACTTGAATTTCTCTGCCACACATTCGGTTTGCCGTGCTCTCCAACTCTCCAAGCACACCTCAAGGCGCTGGCAAGCTTGTAATATATATATATATATATATGAACATATACAGTACAGGTACTGATGAAGCCGTAGGCAACATATAGTACAGCATTTATAAACTGACCGGCCGACGTTCACATGACCCGCATACATCCGAAGTCTCCCGCATCAAATATTAGACGCAGTCATGTTTTCATTAAATGACCTTAAAATCATGTTCTCCTTTTATTATTCAATAAACAGATCAATATTACATCATTTATTCAATTAAATTCCAGTGCCTGCTATGCTGTACTCATGACACATATTGGTAATATGCTTTGGTTTTGAATAAGGATATTAAAGTTGGCATGAAATGGAATTCACCCTATCCATTTTATAAAAGATTTTTATTGTAAACAATTCATCCATACATATGCTTCATTTTGTTTACCTTGCATTTAAAAAAAATTCTAACTGGATCTTCTAGTGAAACGACAGACTTCTGTGACATGCCAGACTTCTCCAATCATTTTGTCCGCACAACCCCACATAAAACGGATAGAACTAAATCTGCACTTTACAATTTTCCCTTCACTCAGATGTACATCATAATATGGAAGAATAGATCTGTTGCTGCTTGCTTCTTTAAAATTTTTGGGTGATACCAATAACGCTTAGTTAATGTTTTGTCCGATAATGTTTTGTCCGATAAACTAATATTTAATTTAAATCGAGGGCTAATATTAAAATGTATGCTATTTATACTAATTTGTATAAATAATTAAATTAATTCAAAATAAAACAAAATCATTAAAATTATTACAAGTGAATTTTAAAATTATTTAACATTTTATGAGGCATCATAAAATTATAGTATGCAGTACAACAAAATATTAATTTAGAGATTTACTAAAGATCACATTACTTAACAGTATTATTAAAGCATTAGTGTTATAAAGAATTAATTTCAAGTGAGTGGCAAAGGTAACCTAAATATAAAAACAGAGAAAATTAGCATATCGACCAATACATGTCCAAAATTAACCGATTTTTGACACAATTATAAAGGGAACACATTATATTAATATAGACCTTCCCCTTGAAGAAATCAGGACAGATGTGGTCGAAAGTGGACAAAAGAAACGGATTACAACATCACGTGTCTCCCTTGTCTACTTGTGATCTGATCGACCAAAATGTGTCTTAATATCAGTAATAAAAACAGTATATTATATCTTGGTCTTTTTGAGAGATTAAAAAGATGTAGTGTTTTTTTATTTATTATTATAAAACGAACTAAAGACAAACCAAACAAAAAACACTAAATGACTGAAAGCCGTTTTTACTCGCCATCATGTCTTAACAAGTCTCTTCGGGCATTTCTTTAAGAGAGGACGTCTACATCTAGGAAGACAATCCTGCCCCATGGAGACATGCAAATGATACAGAACACCTCGGTACTTCATGTATCGGTGTCTTTCCTGCGACATTGAGCAGGAAGAGAGGAGCCAGAGGCAAAAGGAAATACTGCGTCTTATCTTCCTCTAATATCGCGCCCCTCCCACTGGGATGCAAATGGAACCGTCCGCTGAAATGGAGCGATCTGCTGAGTCCTCTCCAAATGCTATTTTCACAGGCACTACAGGTTGCCCTCTCTTATCTGCTAAAGCCACTTCAATTACAAGCTGTCATGGGGGGCAATGAAGATGGAGGGCAGGGACAAAAGAGATCGAGAGAGAGGAACGCTTTGTACATTGGATGTTTTAAGCTGCGTCCGACGAGAACATGCAGTTTCATGAGGGGTCACTTGAGTGTGGAAGTCAATCTGTGCACAGAACTGACATTTCCCCCGCTTCACAATGGCATATGCTCATACTTATCCTGAAATTTCATGCACAAACATTTACACAAATGCAGCTTTCAAACCATATCTATGACTTGAAGCAGAGAATGTTTGTGAA